AACCCGCGACCCTCAGATTGCGAGTCGAGTGTCCTTAACCACCTGGCCATGCCGGGCCTAAGTAATATTGAAATGAATTGTAGTCATAAATACTGGAACTTTTTTGTAATTAAGCAAAAAGCTACACAATGGGTTGTCTGTGATCTGCCCACCACGGGTATCGAAACCCGGATTCTAGAGTTGTAAGCCCGCAGACATACCGCTGTGCCACTGGGCGGGGGGCAGTTTGTACTCGGGTATTTTTCACTGAATATATTTCAGTACACCATACACTATTGTGTGTATTTAATGCGTCGTTTGACCGCATAGAAACAACGTATACACCACAAAAAAATGAAGAGATTCATTAAATAGTCATTATAAACTTTGCCAGATTAATTAGTAAACTAGCTTATATCACTTGTCAAATTTATGTCTAGAATGATGGAGCGAAATTTATCACTAACGCAATTTTAATGTGCAAAACTAAACTCTAACGTCGCTTCCCCACTCGATAATTTCACTATGACACTAAATTAATACTATAATTGTAATGTATCCTATCAAATTACTAAGGAACACGTATATATATATATATATATGACGTCAGAGCCGCTGGTTTTCAGAATCCAATTAATCAGTTAGATGGCGAGAGAACTGGTTCGATACCATATTTTGATATTAGATTTAATTAGCGCGAGCTAGAATAGAAGGAATGAGTAAACATTGTGTAGATATGTTAATTTATTATTCAATGACCATCGATAATTCGTTTAATTTACCTATTATTACTCTGTAAGCGTTAAAGTATTATTCATAAGTTAATTGTTTATTTGTTTGTCTTTTGTACACGTAAACAAACAAACAAAAAACTGCGTACGTGTAATCTTGTTAAACTGTTTCATACATTTATTCTCGCAGTTTTTTGTACCTGAATCTAGTCGATATTTTGGCAATAATCAGGTGAGTATCTTGCTAGATAATTTTAGCTGTTGGTGATTTTGTTTAAAATTCACTTAAAGCTGGATTATGCTTTTTCTTTTCTTTTCTTTTTGTCCCCCCCCCCCTCTCAGTGGCACAGCGGCATGTCTACGGACTTACAACGCTAGCAACCGGGTTTCGATACCCGTGCTGAGCAGAGCACAGATAGCCCATTGTGTAGCTCTGTACTTAACTTCAAACAAACAAACAAAAACTTTTCTTTTTTTAAGTGCTGACACTTCTGATGAAGCAAAGCAAGAGTTGATAATACAAACAGTAAAGGCCCCAGTGGCACAGCGGTATTTCTGCGGACTTACAACGCTAGAAACTGGGTTTCGATACCCGTGGTGGGCCGAGCACAGATAGCCCATGGTTTAGCTTTGTACTTAACTTCAAAACAAAACAAGCATATATAGTAAACATAGCCAATCCAGTAGCTCAGCTGTAAGTTTGAGGACGTATGACGCTACAAGCCGAGTTTCAATACCCGTGATGGGCACAACACAGATAACCCATTGTGTTGCATTGTACTTCACAATAAATCAACCCCTCAAATAAATGTAGCTCAATACAAATGTGTTGAGTTTGCATAAACGTTACACGTGATGGAATGCAAACAACACTATTGTCACTGTTTTAATTAAAGCCCCTCAAGCTTCAGTGCTATACTTTTGAGGGCTTATAGCTCTAAAATCTATAGTTCGATCCTTGCTAAGGGAAAGATCTAGAGAGTACATTGTATAGTTTTGCGCTTAAAGCGACCAACCAAATAATTAGTTAATTAACACTAAACATAATCTGAACATCGCTTCCAAAATTATTTGGTACGAAACTGAGTTTATTAAGCTGCTTACCCCAACCTGACATACTGAATTTTAGAAGCGTGTGACTTTTATAATTACATTTTCATCCTAAGAAGAGCACAAACACATTTCTTGGAATTAAACTTGTTTGTTTGTTTTAAAGCAAATCCACTTTGGGCTACCTGCTGTGCCCCTCCGCGGGGAAACCAACCCCGAATTTTTGCGATGTAAAGGGGGGACGGAATTAAACTTATAGCATAAGATATTTCTGGTATTAGCTTTCCAGTGTCTTGGAAGCTATAGTAAGAACATGTTTCTTCACTAAGACTCTAAACTTATATATTTTCAGGAAAAATATTTAAGTGTTATCATACAATCTGACAGACAGCAGAAAAAACATTTTTCATGTTCTGGTTTTTCTGAACAAATATAAAAGTTGGCGCACGTGGTTGACGAATAAAGATACTGACCACACACGCTACATTTGATTGGAATCAACTCAAGTGTTGCGCACAGCTTAATTTAAATAAATTAAAACATTATGAACTGAAAAATATGAAGGCTGCTGAATGAGAGATACATTATCGTAAAGCACTAAGTCATTACGTGAGGTTAAAATGGACTCTTTTATGAAAAGTTTTGTACCTTGTCCATAAATACTCTTTAATATATCTGCTCGTCTGTGTTTTTGTTTGAGAGCTAAGCCACATTGGACTATCTGCTGTGTCCATCGTGGGGAATCGAACCACGGATTGTAGCGTCGTAAGTCAGTCAACTTACCGCTGTCCCACCGGGGGACCACTCTTAAATAAGGTTTTGTCATTTGTTGGGGTTGGGGGAGTCCCCTGGTGAATCAGCGGTAAGGTTACGGACATACAATGCTACAATCCGGGGTACGATTCTCCGCGGTGAATACAGCAGATAGCTTATTGTGACCTTGCTCTAAAGAACAAACGAACACAATTGTAGGGGTGGGGGTTTTCTGGAACTTCTTCTAAACTTCTTGCTTATTATTCAATTATCTATTACAAGATAATATATAAGGTGAGCACAGTAGAGTGAAAATCGCAGTATAGTGTAGTTTACGCTTAAAAGTTAGATCAGCAGAAAATCTTAAAAACGTTTTATATATGCTTCCTAATTAAATGCGAAATTCAAAAAACAAACAAACAAACTGCTAAATTAGGGACGGCTAGTCCAGATAGCCCTCGTGTAGCTTTGTGCGAAATTCAAAAAACAAACAAACAAACTGCTAAATTAG